GAGAGAATGTCCCAGGAGATTGCAGCTTCAGGTAGGGTAGGGCATGAAGGTATCTGGAGGAAAGTGACCCAGGCAGTGGGAACAGGGAACGCACAGGCTCTGACAAAGGAATGGTCACCGAGACCTCTTGGCCGCCAAAGCCTAGTTGCTGGATCTTCGCATTCCCTTTCTTTTCTTTTCTTTCTTTCAGTTCTTTTTTTTTTTTAGAAACAGAGTCTCGCTCTGTGGCCCAGGCTGGAGTGCAGTGGTCCAGTCATAGCTCACTGCAGCCTCAAACTCCTGGGCTCCACTGATCTTCCTGCCTCAGCCTCCCAAGTAGCTGGGACCACAGGTGCTTGCCGCTGTGCCTGGCTAATGCTTTTTGTTTGTTTGTTTTGAGACAGAGTTTCACTCTGTCATCTAGGCTGGAGTGCAGTGGCGCGATCATAGCTCATCCCATGCTCAGGCAGTCCTTCCACCTCAGCGTCCTGAGTAGCTGGGACCACAGGTGCATGCCACCATGCCCAGCTAATTTTGTTTTTATTATTTGTAGAGATAGGGTCTCCCTATGTTGCCCTGGCTGGTTTTGAACTCCTGAGCTCAAGGGATCCTCTCACCGCAGCCTCCCAAAGTGTTTGGATTATAGGCATGAACCACTGTGCCCAGCCCTCCTTTCTTTTCAAAATTTTTATTGTTCCATGTAAATTTGAAAAAATCTCCTTTCCTTTTTTTTTTTTAGAGACAGGGTCTCACTATGTTGCCCAGGCTGGTCTCCAACTCCTAGGCTCAAGTGATCCTCCCACCTTGGCCTCCCAAAGTGCTGAGATTATAGGAGTGAGCCACTGTGCCCAGTCCATCTTTTTTTTTTTTTTTTTTTTTATCAGAGATAGGTCTAACCTCTGTAAGAAATCATCCCATTTTCTGGTTACTTTTTTTTTCATACAGAGTCTCACTCTGTCACCCAGCCTGCAGTGCAGTAGTGCGATCTCAGCTCACTGTAACCCACCTCCCAGGTTCAAGCGATTCTCCCGCCTCAGCCTCCTGCATAGCTGGAACTACAGGTGCGCCCCACCATGCTCAGCTAATTTTTGTATTTTTAGTAGAGGCAGGGTTTCACCATGTTGGTCAGGCTGGTCTCGAACTCCTGACCTCAAGTGATCTGCCCACCTCGGCCTCCCAGAGTGCTGGGATTACAGGTGAGAGTTACCGCGGCTGTCTGGAAATCATCCCATTTTCTGACTTGTGTCCCGTGAAGTGTCTGTTGCTCCCCTGTCACTGCTATATCCCTGTCCTAGGACAGTGTCTGCTCCATGCCAAGCTCCTGCTCCTTCTATGCGATCCTTGTGGGAGGAGGAAGTGCCATCCACCTTTACAGAGGAGCTGTCTCTGGAGGCCATGCGGCTTGGGGGAGCTGTGCTGTGCTGTGCTGTGACGGCGAGCCCTGGCCTGTTGGCCCCTAGCCCAGGGCTCTTTCCCTCACAACCCTACAACCCCTGGCTCCCTCTAGGAGTGGGCTGAGTACATAGGATCTGTTCTTACCAGGCAGCTCTAGGCCTGGCTTCCTGAAGTTTTTCTGCAGAGAACCTACTTGTCTGGGGTGGGGAGCTGAGGAGCCACCTGGAGGTGAGCCCCGCCAGGCCTAGACCAGCCCCCTCTTCAAGGAAGCGTGGTGCTTTTCCATGCCTTGACCTGGGCAGTAAGTTGATTGGAGTGAGGGGATGCCATGCCCACCCTGCCTTGGTCCTCCTGGTTCCATCACCCCACGCTCATGAGGTCCCAGCCCCGTGTGGGAAGAGCAGCAGGTCCATACAAGGCCACCAGCTCTGCCCAGTCAGACCTCGCCAGCACCCTGTCAGCAGTGGCCAGTCACCAGGCCCCAGACTGCTGGTTGGGCTCTGAGCGGCCAGCATCTGGGAGCGTGTCTGCACGTGTCCCTGCCTTTTAACTTCAGGGGTGTCGTTGGGCATCCTTTGTTCTGTATTATCCATCCTTCGCTGCTACCCAGAGCCCTTCTGACTTGGGGTCGAGTCCGAGTTCTGCTGCTTGTTACTTGGTGACGTTGGACAGGGTGTTTTGCTGCGGTGGTCTGTTTCCTTGCCTGTCTAGTGGGGAGGTTCCGCTTACCTTTCAGACGGCTTCCCAGATCAGGGTGGTGTGAGGGGCTCCACGCTCACAAACTCACTCAGTGCCAAGGAAAGGAGGTGGCCAGGACATTCAGCGGCCCATGACTGTGGCTCTCTGGGTGCTGGGGTTTAGGGAGGATTTTCTCCTCTGTATTTGCTTTTTCTACAATGGTCACAGATTACTTGAGCAAAATGTTTTTTTTTTTTAGACAGAAGTCTCGCTCTTTTGCCCAGGCTGGAGTGCAGTGGTGTGAGCTCGGCTCACTGCAAGCTCCGCTTCCCAGGTTCACGCCATTCTCCTGCCTCAGCCTCCTGAGTAGCTGGGATGGCAGGCGCCCACCACTGCGCCCGGGTAATTTTTTATATTTTTAGTAGAGACAGGGTTTCACCGTGTTGGCCAGGATGGTCTCTATCTCCTGACCTCGTGATCCTCCCGCCTCGGCCTCCCAAAGCACTGGGATTAGAGCAAAATGTTTTAAACGGAATAGGATGCAGAGGGTCTGGTACGCTCACTCCCTGCTGCATGGCAGGTGCTCCAGGGAACATTTGGGTGGGTGGGTGGTGCTCGGTGTCTGTGCCCTCCTGACCCGGTGGGGTCCTCCTGATGCCATTGGTACACCCTGTCTTCCTCCTTCCTGCTGGCACCTTCTCCCAGCCCCCAGTTCTGCCTTGTCACCTTTAAGCCTGTGTGGAGTCTTTGGCACGAATGACCCTGTGCCCTCTTGTCCCCTCCCTGGAGTCTGCAGGCTGTGGTCGCTCTCCAGGGAGCCCCCACCAAGCTTCCTCTGACTTCTGACCCAGTGACCTTGGCCTGGGCCCTGGGTGGGGGTGTGAGCCCTCCAGGAGTCCAGCTGGTTTATGAGCGTGAGCTGCCCTCCCCCAGGCTGGAACGCTGGGCCGGCAGATCCGGTGTCCCCTCACTTCCATTCCGGAAGCCCTCGGGGCTTTCCGGTGCCTGTTCTCTGAACTGCCTTGGGACCTTGGATCAAGTGGGCCCTGGGAGTTTCCCGGCCACCTGCTCTGCCCCAGCAAAGTGGGAGCCCCACCTCTGGGCCCCACCTCTGGTCTGACTCCTCCAAAATGTGAAGGCAGGAACATCCTGGACTGACCCTCTTTTTCAGTTTCCCCAGAAGGTGACAACGCTCCGGGGGCTGGTTCCTGGTGTTCGTTTTTGAGGTAACTGACCCTGCAGATCCTTTCACTCAAGGGGGATAGGGCTCTGCTTCTTTTTTTTTTTTTTTTGAGACGTTGTTTTTGCTCTGTTGCCCAGGCTGGAGTGCAATGGCCTGATCTTGGCCACTGCAACCTCCGCCTCTTGGGTTCTAGCAATTCTTCTGCCTTAGCCTCCCAAATAGCTGGGATTACAGGCGTCCATCACCACATGCGGCTAACTTTTGTATTTTTAGTAGAGACAAGGTTTCACCATGCTGGCCAGGCTGGTCTCAAACTCTTGACCTCATGTGATCCACGTGCCTCGGCCTCCCAAAGTGCTGGGATTACAAGACTGCCTCTTTTTCAGTGTGATTTTGCAAAATCAGGTCACCCTGCCAGCATAGCAAGCCCTCGGTTCCTCTGCCCGAAGACACCCCCAACTCTGCCACCCATGTTACCTACCTTCTCCCACCCTGCCCAGATCACATGGGATCCTATCATATGCAAAGTCGTGATCTGACGGTTAATTTTTGCCACCTCCCAAGAACCAGAATTCCTTCAAACCTCAGCTTAGATGCCTTCTTCTCGAATATGACCTGCCCTCCCCACTTTGGGCCAGCTGTTCCCTCTCCCTCCTGCAGTCCGAGCACTCAACACTAGGCTGCCCTGTCTCTACCTGCCCCTGACTGGAGTATGCGCCTCCAGGATGGGGCCTGAGTCTGCTTCCTTCCCCCATCCTGCTGGGAGTGAACGGAGCTGTGCCCAGGGTGGGCCTTGTCTGTGTTTCCCGAGGACGGGCCTTGCTGTCCTATGGTCAGCAGGAGGCTGAGCTACTGGAAGCCAGAAGCTGGAGCACAGAGACTCCTTCCCCTTCCCCCAAGGATAATCCAGAAATAGTTTCCCCTTGGGCTGGGAATGGATTCTATGGTGGGCGGAGAGTTTGGGGGCCTTGAGCTGGTTTCTTTATTGGGAGCAGATTTCTCCTGATTATTCTCCACTTGGGCCCATGGGAAAGAGAACCTTTCTGAGCACACCCCATGAGAGCACAGGGAAGCTGGACTGGGGCTAGCGAGAGAGAGGGGACAGGACTGGCAGAGACCCCGGGCGTGGTGGCAGGGGCCAGCACCCCCTGACTGAGTGCCCTGTGCCACCCGTGCCCACTCGAGTTCCTCGTAGCTGTGGCTGGTCGGAGAGGCGGAGGCCGAGGGTCCCTGGACAGCCTTCCCCAAGGTCAGAAGGAGGAAGCATTTGCCTGTGGCCTGGCCTGGAGTCACTACAGGCCTCACCCCTACCCGACTCGGGCTCTGATCTGGGAAGGATGGGCTTGGTGTTTCTACCTTCCAAAAGACTTTAGAGGAAGAGGCCTGTGAAGTTTCCCTTTCTGCTTAGCTGGAGTTTCATGGTTTCTCGGAAAACAGGTTAACAATTAAGCTAATTAACCTCAGGGCCCGCCGGCCCTCCTTGTGCTTATAAAGCCAGGCTAAATGGCTTCCTCCCCCAGCTTTTCCTGCCCCCATTAGAAGGCCCCAGGTGGTGAGAGCCTTCAGCCCTGAGGTGGGCCGGCCTCTGGATCTGAGCGTGGGGAAGCCAGCCAGGGTGCATGGGCGATCACTGTGAAGCTGGCCTGGCCCCACGGTGGCTGCCTACTGGACTCGGAGAGAGAGGCCCCGCTCCACCTGTTTGGGCCGGGCCTAATCGATACCTGAGTGCCAGGACAGGCCCCTGCAACTCCTTCTGTTTCTCCAGGTCTCCAGTGGGGGCTGCAGACTAAGCACAATGAGGCGGTTCCTGAGGCCAGGGCACGACCCTGTGCGGGAGAGGCTCAAGCGGGACCTGTTCCAGTTTAACAAGGTAAGTTAGGGAGAGCAGGGAAGATGACCCCCAGGTTTTGGGCCAGGTGGCTTAGGCTGGGGCTGAGGCATCTCTTACCTGGATTAAGGTACAGCTCTTATGTGGCTGCCTGCAGTGCCTCTTGGGACTCAGACTTTGGAAATGGGGCCTGGTTAAAGGGCTTTTATGGGAAAGAGGAATAGGTTGCCCTCACGAGTTGGGACTTCTCATCCCAAGGCTTTCACTGGCTGTGTGACCTCTGCAAGTCACCCCACGTCATCGAGCCTCAGTTTCCCTACCTGTATCTTGGGAATAAAACGATCTGCCCTGCCTACCTCGGCACAGGGTTGTCATGGAGGCTTAGGGACGTGTGAGATGAAAGGATGCAGTCCGCAGGGGTGATAATGTTCCAGTTCCCTTGGGGCCCAGGAGTCACAGGCCATGGCTGTTTCTCCCTTCTCAAATTGCCCTGAAGGAACATGCAGCTCCCCTGCAGGCTGAACACGTGATTCCTACTGGCTCTGGCCAGGGTGAGTGGGGAGAGGTGCCCAGGAGAATGAGCCAGAGTTGACCTCGGACTACCCCAATCCCAAACCTGCACCCGGGATACCAGAAGCCCTGTGGGGCTTCCCTTCAGGAGCCTGGGGCCTGAGAAGGTCAGGACCGGCCTGTACCTAGGAGGCGTGCAGTGTGGCTCTTAAACTTCTGGGCCACCGAGCTGTGTGGGGCCTTGGGGGATAAATACCTTCTCACTTGTGCTTTGGCCCCTCTGCTGGGAAGGTGGGCTACAGGAACCGGGACACTGTGATGCTCTTCCCCCCGGGATCCAGGACCCTCCCAGCATGCTGAGGGCTGGACATGTGGCTTTCGTTGGGGGCTTCCATTTGGGCTCCCCTGCCCCCGAAAGGAAGCAGTGGATATGAGACCAGACAGTCTGGAAAAGGGATGTCTCCCTGTGGAGAATGAGGAATTCTTTTTTTTTTTTTTTGAGACGGAGTCTCGCTCTGCCGCCCAGGCTGGAGTGCAGTGGCCGGATCTCAGCTCACTGCAAGCTCCGCCTCCCGGCTTCACACCATTCTCCTGCCTCAGCCTCCCGAGTAGCTGGGACTACAGGCGCCCGCCACCTCGCCCGGCTAGTTTTTTGTATTTTTTAGTAGAGACGGGGTTTCACTGTGTTAGCCAGGATGGTCTCGATCTCCTGACCTCGTGATCCGCCCGTCTCGGCCTCCCAAAGTGGTGGGATTACAGGCTTGAGCCACCGCGCCCGGCCGAGGAATTCTCTTTGGATGTATTTTTGTTTTGGATTTGAGAAGTGTGGAAGTCAGCCTCCCCAGGTGCAAACCCAACTTTGCCACATAGAAGCTGGATGGCCGTATGCCTGTCGCCCACACCTTAGGCTTGTTAAGGGCGTACGTGGGATGAGGTAACTTAAGTGCTAGGCACAGTGGCCCAGGAATGCTGGCTGCTGCTGTGGGCTAGATGGGACCTCCCTGACCTCCCTGTTGGGAGAGGTGGGTCGTGGGTTGGAGGGACCTCCCTGAGAGGGGTGGGTCAGCGCTGCCAAGGTGCCCTGCCATTTCCCTCTGGGTTTCGTAGCCTGTGGGAGGAGTTGGTGTCCCTGATGGAGCTTTGCCACAAAGACATTCGCCTCTGGAATTAGGGCTTTCCTATGCCAACGTGCTTCCCGCCAGCTCGCTTTTGGGCCTTGGGATATGGGGGTGCAGGTGTTGGGAATGGGAGACCTCAGGACACCTACAGCCTCCTACCCTTGCTCTGGAGGCAGTAGCCTATGGGTGCTGGGTCTCAAAGCTCCAGTGTCCACAGGGGATGGAAGGGAGCTGGGTGACCCCCATCTGCCTCCAGTCTCTCACTCTGAAAAAGTGGCAGAAATCTGACAGACAGGCTCAGCAAACAGGGCTAAACACCCCCCACCCCTGCCCCCTCGCCCCCTTGCCCCAAATTCTGTCTGTGCAGCTGAGTGAGGCTGAGGTGGAGTTGGGGCGAGGAGTTGTCCCTCCCTCTTTCTCCTATCCCCCAGGGGTGTCCCCAAACTTGATTGTTCCACTCCCAGGCCTGGGGGTGGCAGAGGGAGGCTCCTGGGTCTCCTGCTCTACCTTCCTCTTTCCATTCAAATGCAAGAAGCATGCATTGAGCACCCCTGGATCTGCGGCCCAAGGCTCAGCGCTGTGGGAATCTCACTGGGCCTCTGCCCTCCACTTTCACAGTCTGCAGGAGGGAGGAGGCTGATGGCTTGACATTTCGGGCCCTGGGAGTGGAGAAGAGGAAGGGGAGAGCCCGGGGAATTCGGGAGCAGGGTAGACTCATCCAGGCTTGGGGAGTGTGGTGGGGCCAGCAGGGTGGGATTGGAGGATGAGGCCAGATCCCGGAGGATTTGGGATCCCGTCTGCTCTGCCCCTCCCCAGCCCCGGCTGTGAGGCAGGGAGGCTGCCGGCATCTGGGCCTGATCTGACCCTGCCGCCCCAGGGGGTTGTGAGCAAGGGAGCGAATAGTGGTCGCATTTACAATATAGGAACGATAAACCTGGAGATGTTTTTACCCTTTGGGCAAAGCGGGTAAGCTCAGAGTGGTTAGGAGTCATTGCGGTGACTAGATAGGTGACAGCCCAGAAGGAAGGGGCTGGAAGCCCAGCCGGTGGGGATGGGGACAAGGCATGATTGAGCAGGGTTTCTCCGCTTCAGCACTCGCAGGTGTTTGAGGCTGGCTGTGCTGTGCATTGCAGATTATGTAGCAGTGTCCCTGGTCCTACCCACCAGATGCCAGTGGCACATACATACACACACACCCGTCAAGATGTGACGACGAAGAATGTTTCCTGAGGGGTAAAATCCTGGTTTCAGACCCATGGAATAGAGAACGATTCAGGGCATCCGATTGCCGAGATCTGCTGATGGGGCAGTAAAGAGAGGGGGCGGGGAGGGGAGGTGGGTGTCCAGGATGACCGTGGAGGTTGTGACCTGGGTGGGTGGTGGTGCCAGGTCTTGGGAGGGGGAGCCCAGGCCAGGAGTAGTGAAGAGCAGATTTGAGGAAAAGTAATATATTTTGATCGTTTTGATTTGGACACAGTTGCAACAACAGTGCTCTCCATTTACGGAGAGTTAGCTTGCCCGGAGGTGAGTGGTGCCGACTGCCTGGCTCACCAGCTGTGTGACCTTGAGTAGGTCACGTGCCTCTGAGATAATGATAATCAGAGCCACTCCATCCATATAGTTGGTGTGAGGACTACATGAGTTCCTGCATGAATCGAAGGCCATGCCTGGCTGGCGGCCACAGTGTGCAGCAGCACCGTGCTACGGTGGGTGTTATGTGGCTTGAGGTTGAGCTGGGGGAGCCTTGGGACAGGACCAGCAGACGGTGGGATACCCAGGGCTGGAGTCTGGAGCGGCAAGTGGGCTGTTGGTGGAGGTGAGGGTCAGGCCCCAGACAGCGTTCATGCCTGGCAACTCAGGTCATCTCTTCCAGTGGTCCTGGAAGGCCAGTCTGCTGGGTGCTATGACAGCTAGGACAGTGGCGCCGTCACAGCTCGATCCCAGGTGGCTTGTAGACACTGGCTTCTGAACCAGTTCTGGCCTTTTCCTCCAACACCTTCTGGCTCAATTCCTTTACACCTACACCAAGCCCAATGCCTCAAAGAGAGCAAGGACATCGCCCGGGGGGCCCTGAGAGGGAGACGTCCTGTTTCTTTGGCTTCAGTACCTGCAGAGGATCAGTGATTGCAAACAGTCTCTGAACTCTGCCAGCGGCTGGCTGTCAGAGTGGTAACTCCAGTTCACCGAAGGCTATGTGCCAGGCATCCGAGGCGCCAGTTAGTGGTCAGGGGCAGGGACTTTGCAGCCACATGGCCTGGGTCTAGATGCTGGGTCTGTTGCTTCCTCACCGTGTAAGACACGGTGGACACAGTGGACGTGTTACTTAACCTGTCTGTTCTTTAGTTTCCTCATCTGTAAAATGGGCATTGTAGGGGAGCAAAAACTGACTTCCCTGCAGCCTTCTAGGTTCTTTGGTTGGGCTATGAATTAAATTGACAGGAGGCCGGGCGCAGTGGCTCACACCTGTAATCCCAGCACTTTTGGAGGCTGAAGTGGGTGGATCACGTGAGGTCGGGAGTTAGAGACCAGACTGGCCAACATAGCGAAACCCCGTCTCTACTAAAAATATAAAAATCAGCTGGATGTGGTGGCCCATGCCTGTAGTTTCAGCTACTAGGGAAGCTGGGGCAGGAGACTCAGTTGAACCCCGGAGGTGGAGGTTGCAGTGAGCCGAGATCACCCCACTGCACTCTAGCCTGGGTGACAGAGTGAGACCCTGTGTCAAAAAAAAAAAAAAAAAATGACTGGGGTGGGGTGTGACCAGGTTATAGGAAGGTGAGGGGAGGAAGTGTATGGTGACTGAAGGTTGTCTTGTTATGCAGAGAAGGTCTCTTGGTAATAAAAGTTGCCTTGGAGAAGCCTTCTTCCTGATACAGATATGGGCTGAGCCCACATGATCAGAAAATCTGAAATCTGAAATGCTCCAAAATCTGAGTTTTTGAAGTGCCAACATGACACTGAAAGGGAGTGCTCATTGGAGCATTGCAGATTTTGAAATTTTGGATTTGGGATGCTTGACTGATAAATATAATGTAAATATTCCAAAATCCAAAAGATTCTGAAATCTAAAACACTGTAGCCCCAATCATGTTAGATGAGGGATATTCAGCCTGTATTTGACTAATGTAGGTTTCCTTTGTGGATGTAAATTTCTTTTACAAAATGGCAGCTTTTCTTTTCTTTTCCTTTTTTTTTTTTTTTTTTTAATTTGAGACAGAGTTTTGCTCTTGTTGCCCAGGCTGGAGTGCAATGGTGCGATGTCAGCTCACCACAACCTCTGCCTCCTGGGTTCAAGTGATTCTCCAGCCTCAGCCTCCCGCGTAGCTGGGATTACAGACATGCACCACCACACCCGGCTAAAGGACAACTTTTCAGAGCTACTCCCATGTCTGCACTTTCTGAGAATAACCAGCT